CGCGGCGTCACCCGGACAGCCCAGATCACCCACATGACTCTGGTCGCGGAAGCCTACGACTTCAGGTTTCCACCTTATTCAGGTTACATTGTAGCCAGGTTTTACTGTAATTAAATCTTACTGGTAATATTACTCACGTTATTAAAATCCATTCACTATTACAGTATCGGCAGTGTATAAACAACTGACAGTTCTCTCGCCACATGCTGTGGTATGTCATGTGTCCTGCTGTGTAGCAATCAGCTTGCAAGGATGTGTTTTCTTTCTCATAGCCAGCATTCTGCGTTGCCGCTCATCTGACTTATAAGAAGTCGTGGAGACAATAAGGTTCGGCTATGGCAAAGGTTACGAGCATGATATAAAGACATATCATCGCCTGTCAGTAAGTGTTGTTTTGAGATTTAATTTATTTGTCTTGTAGGTGGTCCCTTGAGTGTAGTTATGTGTGGCAATGATGCATCGAACTGTTGCTTAAACCCTTCAGTTACTGTAGATATTCACTTTTAAGTCTAATGAAATGAATGCCAATGAAATTTAATGTCTCTAATCTCATTAATTATGATATTACTGTATTAATGAGTCATATTTCTGAGTATAACACTTGGATTTTAGTAGGGTTAGGAAATGTATTGAAAAATGTCTATTTTTGGCGCTAAATCAATTTTGTTTGTGGTATGTTCTGTTGTTAACATGAGAAGTACTAATACAGTAGAACCTTACTAATCCAAATCCTGCAAATACAAAATATCAGATAATCTGAACAAAATTTGGGATGGAGAAAAATAAACAAAATAAATAAAATGCTTATTTGTAGTGTAAAGGTGTGATTTTATAATTACTGTAGAACAGAACAACTAATTATTAAAAAAACAAGTTGTCAAAATGAAATGTTTACTGCACTGGTAACTATGTATGGTGTATATCACATGTTTATGTAGCTATAATTTTCACTTACAGGAACTTGCAAAATCGATAGTCTTCTTTTTCCGTAAGGAACTTAATCTGCTTCATTATGCGATCGCCATGCTCCTTCGCCATTTTCTCATTTCATATGGTACGTTGCATTGTCTATTAATTAATAGTAATAATAATATAACATTATTAGTAATCCTATAGATATTTTTTTATTTGTACGGTATATTTTTTCAAATAATTCGTACATTTCTGAATGCAAACACACACCACCCCCAATGAATTCGGGTTACTGGTGCTCTACTGTATATTGTTAAGACTAATGTGTATGTGTAATTAATGTAGTTTGTCAAGAGACTAGATTAGATTAGATTTTTATTCACACAAAACACTTGGTCAGTTTCTTAATTTGAAAACACTGATGTGTTGTCATTATAACAAAAGACAAAAGAATTATCACATAATGAAAAAGGCTTTCATGGCAGAGAGCCTGACCCCAGCCACTAAGAGAAACAAAAATCTATACGAGCTATATCAAGCATATGGTTGAATTCATAGTTTCATAAGTTGTCTGTTCTGCTCGGAAGTAGTTTCAGAAGCCACATTGTAAATTCAGTGCCCTGTTACATGCCTTGGACCATAAACAACCACAGCCATCCTTACTACATCAAAAGGCTGTTATTATCAGTGTAAAGGTATGTGTGTAAAATATTTTTACACACATGCACACATCCAGTGTCTTTATGAAATACATTGATATAAAAATTCATCTCAGCATTAAATTTTCTGACCTCACCCCAGCTTAAAATTAATTTCTTATGAAGAAAAAAGATAAAGATTTCTTCTGAAAAGGTCGTACTTTACAGGCACCCCAAATCAAGCCAACACTCATCACTACTTCCACAGCATTCATTATAGCCAGAATAGCTAGAAGATTGGACACCATTTTTACTGCTTCACTAGGAGGATTACATTTACGGGAACCTAAAACAAAACAAGACAAGAAATAATAATAATACTTTGAAACGTACATTAAACAGAGATGATTATCCTTGGTGGAATGTTCTCCAACTGAAGTTTCCAATTAATCATTAAAGACAATCAAATACAATGTTGTGAAATCAAACCACAGTTTATTCCGTGGTATCAAAGTTATACTTAGATAATAAATACTTTAAGAGGGGACAGTAGTACTTGAGAATTTTAAAAAAAATGGATTTTTCATATTTAAATGTCCTACATTATTCTGTATGTGTTGCTACTTGTTTCGTGACTATCAGACAATTAAATCTCTCGAAACTATTTTTTGAGTATTTGAAAGTTCTTGATGAACTATGTTCCCAGTTATTTAGCTTTAACAATTTTTTTTTATGGTTAAATATTTATTTTTCTATTGAATTTTGAAATTATTTTGTTTTGACTAAGTTTCTCCAGACTTGCAATAATATTGGTAGTTTTATAATAATGGTTGTTTCTTTCTGTTTGTGTTTTTAAATAAGACTTCTTTTATATGGTACTATTGAATAGCAGGACATCAAATATTTTTTCTTCTCAAAATATTTTTGCTTTATTTTGGAACCAATATCTCTACAAAATAAGCACTTGAAAAGGAGTAGCAGAATATAATTAGGAAAATTTGCCCCTGTGTATAAACATTTTTTATGTTGAAAATTGTAATTGAAGTTTTAAAAAAAGTGTTTTGCCAGATTGGAATAAAGAGAGATTTAATTTGTTTAATATTTAAATTACAGTAGGTAATATTATTATTCTTCCAATTTTGTTTTTCATTATTTACCTTTTCTAATAAACTGAAAAACTTGTGATGATTTTTTGTAAGGGTCAAAATCAGATATAAACCCCTGAAAATATTCTCAAAACATCTTTATCGTATGTAGAAAATTGCAAGGATAATTAAAATCAATATTCATAGGCGTAATGTTTAAAAAAAAAACAAATATAAGAAAATAAAACCAATTTTTTATCATTTGGATGCAGTATTCTTGATTTCAATCCAGCGAAAATCTTGTACACTTCAATTACGATATTCAACATAAAAAAGTTTTATTCCCAGGGACAGATTTGCATTTCTTAACCTGCTACTCCTTTTCAACATTTGTACCACACCATTGTGACTCTTTTACACACAATCATTACATTCCAGTATTTTTTTTGTTTGGATACTTCCACTGGGGCAATAATTCATAAGAAAATTGGGCCGAAGTCTAGTATATGGAAAAACTCACTGATGTCTTTTAGACCAGCACTTTGCGTTGCTCCGGCGGTAACTGTGCAGTTTGAATTCTGGATGCTTTCTTGAAAAGTGCTTTCTTATAAAACGTAATTGTGCTTGGTAATTATGCTGTGGATAGACTCAAGGTTGTTTTTAGTGAATGTGAGGGCCAAAGGCCTGAGCCTTGCCCTGACTTGGATCCGGGTGAGTGAAACAAGAAAAGTTGCCTTTGAAAGTAAATTGGCATGACAATGCGGTGGGGACAAAGCATATGAATGGCAAGACATGAAAATCGCCTATCCGTAAGTTTTATTCATTTCTATCAGTGTGCATGGCGTAATTTGAGGGAGGGCTTAAGGAGACACCTCCCCTGCGCAGCCATGCTTCTCTGAGGGTGCCCCGAGTGCCCTACTTTAACCGAAAATTTATATTAAACTAAAAACATTATTTAAAAAAAATTAACCATGAAAGGAATGAAGCTGAATCTGCATCAGTTTAAAGATAGATGTTTCCATTATAGGCCCAAGGAATTTGAAAAATTTCTAATGCATTGTTTCATTAATGAAATGAACCAAAATATTTAGATTATTTTACATGGGGCTTCTAAAAGTCTTCTGTCTCCTCTTTATTATTTTAAGTTTTATCCCTTTAAAGAATTCTGTATCAACTAATTTAATTTCAAAGGAAATGTTAAGTTAGAAACTCTTACATCTGTAATCAAATGCCAGTGAAATGGTCATGGGCCAGTTTGTCCACAAATTGCTATGACACTGCTGCCCGTACCTGTTGTCCCGTTTTTCTCAGACCATTCTTGAACCAACTGGCAGATTATTAAGATATGAAGCTCTAAGACCATAAGAAAGTAAAGAATTCTAGAACATTGCTAGTTTTCCATCAGATGGGACAATTTTTCAAAGCCAACTAAGCAACTCAGATCAGAAGTCTGCTTGATTTGGATACCAAAGGATAGCTGTTCAATATAAGAAGTCTTCCCACACTCAAATTTTAATGGCCCAACACAAACTAATGTTGGTCCCAAATAGGGAGCTCCTAAGTCTGTAATGCCAAAGGTATTACACTTCATTAAATGTAGAGGGATTAATATAGCTAATCTTTCAGGGAGTCATAAAATAGTAATGGTCTTAGTGCTAGTGGGGGTAGTGTGCCTACTAGTTGCAGAGGCAAATCATGGAACCTGGTGAAGAAAATGACCAGTCAGCAATTCCCTGTAGGTTCAACTACTAACCGCAGCATCCCATTGGGATAGGCAATGTCAGACCACAGGCAGGTGTTCTTGTATCATCTTCAAACAGCAATTGAATTTAATCTTAAATTGATATCAAGCAGGAGAAAACTGTGGAATATATTCAGTTTCAAAATATATCACTAAGTGTGCTCAAGAAATGAAAATCAGCTTATTACCCTATGGTTCCTATTCACTGCTAATATATCATTTATTGAATTGACTTCCATATTTATTTGCATTAAAAATACTCTATTGAGGAACATTTTTCTTCAAATTTAGTGGTGTCGTAGTAACGTGAAAGTTGTTTTTTTTTTAAAAAACTGATGCCTGACTATTTCCGAATTAATTTTTTAAAGATCATGCTGAATTTTAGCCTTGCCATTGAAATTGCAGGTGCTGCAGGAAAAGTGTCCATACTGACAAACAATTGTTTTTGGCACAAAAATTCATTGGTAGTTTAACATAGACCAAACTTGTTGTGAATCAGACCATTTTGGCCATAACTATTTTGGCATACAAGTATTTTGGAATTTGCAATTTCCAGCATTAAGATTATTTTCTACTGTTATTATTATTATTACTTTCTTTTGCAAACAAAAAAACATACAGTATCAACAAATAGTGGCAAAGCTAAAGTCTAAACAATGACTTTTCATATAATTTCAGATCAATATACATCCTACAATACTCCATTTTAAGAAATTCAAAATCCAACTTACAGCCTGAATCCGTACAGGAAAGTTCACATGAGATTTTTATTCCGCTACTAAATCCAGCAGAAAGACCCATAAAAGTAAGGGCAACAACCTGAAAATCATATTTATTAATAAAACATCAGTATGTAGGCCTATTTAAAATAATGCAAAATTTGCCACTAGTTCAACATTACAAGACAAACAAATATGCAATTCATTAAAGAAACTTTTGGAGTAGGAAAATGTAACAAGATGTTTAAAAAATACTGCATGCAATGAATTGCATTTTGTTCTTAAAATCACGGATGATTTGTTAGTCACATATGTTCACAAATCATAAATTTATATCTATAACACAATTATTAGTGTAAAAACTGTAGTGTTAGAAATTACGCAGATCTGTTTAACTAAAACAACCAAACTTGCAGATGTTGCTACTTACAACAGATAAAGTTCCCACAACAATGGAGGCCGAACGCACACTACAACAACAGCATTTGGTAGGCATAATGTAATATTTTGGTATGCCCTTTGATATCTGAAATAAAATATTAATATCACTTAAAAGAAAAATATTGTAATAGATATTTGGTTCAAGATTGACTCTTATACATCGCAATACTAGATGTTATTCTTGAAGTACTGATGTAAATCAATGCAAAATAAACACTAGTTGTCATATTGCAATAGGTCTAAGAGTTACCTGCAAGTCTAATCACGGCCTAGGGGCCTTATTGTCGTTTTGAGATGTTTCTTTCAGAAACGTTCATCAATCAACTTTTTTTTTCACTATACAAAAATTCAGTGTCGCTTCAAATAGATAAATTGGGTCCAAACGAGCAGAAACTAGTACAGATCTAGCTCAAAGACGCCTAGCTATACACGGGTTCCCAACTCACACAAAGACAAACCAAGTTGCCATACTCACATTAACCCACATCCGTTGATCCCGCCAGATCCCCTCTACATACGAAGGGGAATCCCTTGCTTCCGCATTGCCAACTGTTTTCTTGCTCGTTCATAACAACTGTATAATAACAAGTTAACAACTAACAAGCTGATGTAGCTTTATGAGGTAAATAATGTTTTTTAAAAAAATTATACGTCTTGATGATAGATGCAGGATTCCAGTCTCAAATCTCATTTTAGTCTTCTTATACAGTACGATTTATTTAGTCGTGCACTTCACGTAAATCATGTTGCAGTTTGATCTAATCAGGAGCTTTTATGTCGCTACAGTGACTGTCACTATGGGGACGTTCAGGCTTCCGATTAGATGAAGCCATGAACAGCTGATTTACTTCAAATGCGTAGTTAAATAAATCCTAGTAAAGTACGTTTCGAGACTGCAGAACTATAAGGTTGGTATGATTGGGGAGAGCCGGAAGGTGACGCTCCGCCACCAGGGCCCGGCAACTCTCCATCAAAATCGGGGACAAAGCTCGAGGTTGCTACTATAGGAAGCGCTAGTGTCGCCGGGTGCAGCTGCAGGTTAGGATCGCCAACTTCCTCACATACAAATTGGCTAATTTGTGAGAAATACGAAAAGTCTCTTCTAAATGTACAATTATTCATAATATATACTTATAAGAAACCTCTGAAGAAAGCGCGAACGTAGACGTTATCTTTTGTAACATTACGAGCCTGCTTGCGACCCGCGAACTCACGCAGCAGTCACGCACGTTTAAAGTATCGTTGGCAGTAGTTCCTGTTTTAGTTCATGTAAAGAAGGTGATGCAGCAGAGCGCGCCACCGTAATGGTCTCCACCACGTTATATGGGAGTTATAGGGCCCTGCTCCGCCACTGGCGGTGACAGGCTAGTTGGAGAGTATAGGCCAGTCAGAGAGGCCAGTCGCGTGAATCTAATAACTAGTTTATAATAACTAGGGAACAGATTTTCCAGTAAATATATATTTTTACAGGTAGAATATTCCTGCATTCAATATTTTTTAGTTTTCATCACAATGAGAATGCATCATAACCATTTCTGTTTTACATATTTTGGTGACTTGTAATCTGCGAATGTTAAAATATTTAACCTATTACTAGACATTTCACTACATTTTAAAATATTTACACGTCGAAATGGGATATTCAAATATGAGTTAGCAAACAAATATTCCTAGAATCGTCTTTCTCTGTCAGCGAAGCAAAATTAAACGAAAAAATCCTTTCCAGCCATTTCAACCTCCTGTAAACCACTCACCTAATAACTACATTGCCTTAGGGACTTATGACTATAATTTAAGTTGAAATCAGTGGGGATTAACCCTAACTTGTTGCCTAAATCCATTGAGAGTATTGTCGCTGACAACTTATTCTACACTGGAAATTGGCATACTTGGTAAAGAAATAGCGGGTTTTTTTTTCTTTCTTTTTTTTCCGCGCGACGGGGAGTTTTTGCGCGCCTTATCGGGCAGCACTGCAATCTCGATCTGCGGATGTGCAGATGCAGAATTTTTTAGCGAGTTTGTGCGGACGTTAAAGCACTATCAATTTTGTGCGCAGTTCGTTTCACATCTCTATAGTACATCTCCGCATGCGTAGAAGATCAATAGTGATTTCAATTAATTCGAGAGAGCAAAAACTCCCTAAAGTGAGAGGTTTTCCGTCTCTGGTTATCAGACGTAGGAAAAGACATGTACACATGTAATCTCACACGCTAGTAGCTCCGCGATTGTGGGCTGGTGGAAACCCGGGTGAGTGGCAGGGGCGGTTCTTTGTAAGATTCACATGTTCACGTAATACCCTCAAAAATTGAACAGATTAGAATATACTCTTCGTTATTACACTCCCATTAATAGTACGACCTTTTTCAGCTCTTCTTTTAATTTCAATACCAGTACTACATTTACGAACCGATGTGGCTGCGTTGCTGTTCACGTTTACGAAACAACAACTCGCTCAGACTTCGTTCCATAAGGACCATTGGGTGCCACCTGACGTCGCTTCTGAGTTTTCGTAGGGCGCTTTCATCGGATCATGCTCACACTTTCGCCGTGAACTCCGCTTGGCGCAGCACTCATCGGGCTATCGCGTCACCTAAATAAACTCCAAGTCTCCGTCGCGCCGACAGTAAAACAGTGTCCCCGCTATGGTACGCAGAAATTTTGCATCTGATGTGGATGGTGAGGGACGACTTAAAATCTGTGTATAAATGTGTTTTACATCTCGGATTCGACTAATGATTTACTTTTAGTGTCCGTGCATCCCGATGTTCAATTATCAAGTAAGAAGCTTGGTCCGGATTAGCCTGTTCTGAAAATTGAAACATCCAGTGGCGGCTGGTACCCCAACAGACTGGAGGTTGCACCTCCATCGAAAGATGGAAGTGTAATTTCAAAAATTCAAAATACGAATGGATGAAAATCAGAACGGTATTAGTGACATTTTATAAATTAGGAGAAACCTGTTTATTTAATTCAATATTACTGTAAAGTCGTGATGCTTTGTTTCATTATTAAAACCACGGCATTTCAATTGTTCATTAAAACCACGAAAACACATTTCCACGAAAATATAGCGTAAAATAAACACGTTTTCTCAGAATTTATAAAATGTCACTTATACCGTTCTGGTTTTCACCCATTCATATGATAAAAATGTAAGCAATTCAAGTAGAGTAATTAAAACTAAGTTAAATAAAAGTCTATATTGAAACATTACTTACATAATTTTATGCGTCGTGTTCGTGTAAAGTATATACACCTCCAGCGCACATGGTTCTGGCTTTGATTTCCACTAGACACTTAAAATAGACTCCAGCACATTGCAACAAGCACTATTGCTTTGACGTTTCTCACAAATAAACTTATTTTATTTCGAAAATTTCATTGCCCTAGTATATATGGCAATAATAAAAGAGCTTCGACACACATTCTTATTCGCAAGAACACTCGCAAACTGCTGGCCGACCAGCTGTATTCACCAGCAGGCACACTAGCTTCCGAAACCAGAACGGCCACCTTTACACAAAGATCTTATCATATGTACGTTTTGAATCACCAAACCTAATATAAAATGAAAACAAAATATCCAAATATCATAAACAACGCATTGAATACCATCAGTAATTGACTGAACGTGCGTACTTTCAATAACAAGCGAAATTCATAAAATTACGTTGCAGCGAAAACAGAATATTGGGGTTCCTCTGAGACTCACTCGGTAAAATCGCAGCACTAGACAGTACCACCAGCTAGCTGGGCAACTAAACCGGCCGATGTTGCCCTTGTTAAATCGAACGGCCAGAAAGTATATGCAGACCACCCAGTAATACAGTCAAGAGCCTAGAGCGTGGTGCAATACCCGGGAAGCCACCAAACACCGGAAAGAGCGCCAACTGGACGCTCTTTGGTTTCAAAATGATTTATATACATCGATATTGCTGCAATATCTTGAACATTGGATGATATTAAAAGGAAAATATATGCCTAAGATATTATGAGATCTTTTCCGATTATCTGGGAATGTGCAATCGTGCAACCTAAGCACGAGTCGCCACTGGAAAGAACTGTGAAAACAGCAAAACAAAAGTTTCATTGACGATTCAATGCTAATAGTTATACTATATACAAATGACTTCGTGAGTGTGAGGGAAGAAATGCACTACATTATTTTTCTTGCATCTTATTTAGCAAGGAGGAAAATGTGTACGAAGACCGGTTATAATGACATGAACCATTTGAGTAAGAAACGTAAAATCATCAAGAGACACTTCTCCATAAAAACAGTAATTTTGAACTGTCTTTACTTGAATATTGTGATTTGGCTTAGCGACAGTTATTGCCTCACTGTAAAATGACGATGAAGTGCGTAAGAACAAATATTCTGGACACTTATTGAACTGTGTCAAATTTTGTGGTGGGCTAGCTCACCTCCGTTGTAAATGTACGTCGGAAAACCCTGGGATATTTTGAGAGATAGTGGGTTTTGTTAGTACCGTTGACAGTGCTTTAAAAATCAACGTCAAATTCAGTACAGAACACTGTTGCAAAGGATGTTCAAGAGAAGCGAATTTAGAAATTCAACATGAGCGGTACCATTATTTCAAGTAATGCTGCAAAATGGAATGTCAGAGGAAATTTTTCGTGAAGTCTAAAAACGTCTTCGAATTCTTCTCATTACTCTAATGACCTCTTCCGAAGCTGAACGATCATTTTCAAAAATGAAGTGGATACAAACATTTCACCGAAATATAATGACAAACATGCGATCGTGCGCCATCGCAAACCTCTCAAGTATTAGTAGAGAAGCAACTTATCCTTGAAACCAGTGACTTCAATGAATTAGTGATGGGGAAATTTGTCCATCTGCAAAATTGGCGTTTGTATTTTCAATTTCAGTAAACAAGGTAAGATTACAATTTCCTCGTTTCTGGATAGATCGATAATAAATTGATAATAAATGTCTCGTGACGAATGTTGCGTAATTAAACTATTGTAAGAAGGAGACTACGTTCAGAAGGGTCAAGTTCAAAAGTAATATAAAGCAGTACATGAGAAAATAAATCATTAGTTTTCAAAGTTGGTTATTAATGGATGCCCGGCAGTTCAGGAATTTATTTTACCAAAAATAGGTAGGCAAATATGTTTACTACAAATAGGTAGGCATTTATGTTTACTAAAATAGGCATGCAAAAAAGGCATTTATTCTGACTAAAGTATGG